TTACAGAAAATTTGACCTTTTTTGACAGTCTGTGAACACAAATATAATTATTGTGATCAATCATGCTCTATGAGTTACTTTTATCAATAAGTTGCTAATGTTGGGCAAAGTCCTGTCAACAATAAGTAAGACCTTTTCTTTTCTCACTGCCATACATAAGTCCAAATAGTGTCAGGAGTTTGATTTTATTTTGTAGAGACAAAGACTCTCCCCTGGCCTAAACAACCCAAGAGAAATCATGGAAGAACCAAGGAGACCAAAGTAGTGGTTAAGGTAGGAATTCAGGTGACAGTCCATGATCTCATAGGCCCCAACCTCTCTCAGAGCTAGGAGGAGCTAGGAATCTGCTCTTATAACAGGCAGATTACTGACAGGGTCAATGATCCAATGCAATGGTTCTTTCAAAAGAACTCTGGACTCAGAACTTTTCAGTTATGGGTTACGGATGGTATCATACTAATAATTTAAGTAGACAAGTATCCATCTACTCAAAGCCATTCCCTAAGGTACTTTTTTACTTTCTATGAACCTTAGTTTTCACTTTTCATATTAGTTATCATCATAGTCATATTAAGTATATACTAATTATTACTGTTATCCATAAACACTAACATGGGCATATGCAACATCAATTTCTAGAAAAGCATTCATTCATTCATTCAATAAATATTGAAGACCTATATGAATTTGGCACTGTATTAGGTTATAGAGACAAAATGGTGAGGAAGAGGAGAAAATAGGCATAGCCCTGCCTTCACAGAGCATACCATCTAGCAGAATAGACAGTTATTAAACAATCACACACATACAAACATACACAAGATTGCAAGATGGCCTCCTAGACAAAGACAAATTTCAACTTTGTTGGCACCCCTTATTAACCATACCTGCATCAAGAAAGCAATTTTAGAATCATCTTCATAATCAGCTTCTGAATAGTAGAGCCGTTGAAGTAAACATTTGTACTTCAAAAATGATTCTCGTTGTTTAGCCTCATTCTCAAGGCTAGTGCAGCGACGGCACCTATATACACGGTGTGAGGTGGATGATACGGCAAACTCTGTAGAAGGCAAATATAGCTGACAACCGTGGCAAAAGTAAATCTTCTTATAAAACTTCAATGGGTCTTGAGGGACCTAAATAGTGAAAAAAAGAAAGAAAAGAAAGAAAGAAAGAAAGAAAGAAAGAAAGAAAGAAAGAAAGAAAGAAAGAAAGAAAGAAAGAAAGAAAGAAAGAAAGAA